TCAAAGAAGACCAAGAGAACACTGAAGCAAGAAAACAGATTTTTTAAAATGAGAATTGGGAATTGCAATATTATCTTGTTTCTGCTAAAGATAAGATGATTTGCTTGCTTTGTGATACTGCAATATCAACATTAAAGAAATTCAATGCTCATCAGCATGACAACACTCATAAGGACCACAAATATTTTATATTAGAGGGAGAGGCATGAAAGGTTGTATTGCAGAAATTAAAAGATGAAAAGCAAAAACAAAAGCAAGGACAGTTCTTTCAAGAAGCAATAAGACCTGGAAATAATGCCACTGAAGCAACTCATAAAGTAGCTTATATACGAACAATCCTAAAAAGACATTAAGAAACAATTCCATTTACAACAGCATCAAAAAGAATAAAATACTTAGGAATAAACTTAACCAAGATGGTGAAAGACTTGAAATTAAAGAAGATGTAAATAAATGAAAAGACATCCCATGTTCATAGACTGGAAGGTTTAATACTGTTAAAATGTCAACATGATCCCAAGTAATTTACAGATTCAGCGCAATCCCTACCAAAATTCCACCACCGTTTTTGCAGAAATAGAAAAATCCATCCTAAAATTCATATGGAATCTCAAAAGATCCAGAATAGTTAAAACAATCTTGAAAAAGAAGATCAAATTGAGAGGTCTCACATTTCCTGATTCCAAAACTTAACTACAAAGCCAGGGTAACCAAAACGATGTGGTCCTTGCATAAAGGCAGACATAGAGACCAGTGGAATAGATTACATTGGGATTTTTCTGAAGGGTAATTTTTATCAATTTCCATTTTTTATGTGGTTTAGCATTCATTACCATGTCTGTGTTCTTTGAATTGTTGAGAGCTTCCAAGCATGGAATCTTGCACAAATGTCTTAAACGTGGGTTTCTACAGAACTGGAAGCATTGAGTGCCCCAGGGAGGAAGTCAGTTCTGTAGAATGACGCCACCACAAGATGCTCTTCCAGTCCAAGAAGTGGATTCTGTTCCAGGGGAGATGAAGGACAGTTTGTGAAAGTCCACTCTCCCTTTCCTTATAATTATAGCATAACTGAAGCTGGTTACGTGCCTGCCTGGCTACACTATATTTAGCAGCCTCTCGGCTGCTAGATAAGGCCATGTCACTACACTCCCTAAGTAGGTGCTTACCTAGGAGTAGGAGTAGATCAATTTAGAAGAGCAGCTATGAAAGGAGTCATCACTTGGTTGACACGATAATAAATCATGGCAATTCTTTAAGCCTCAGTAGGCTTTTTTGCTGTCCCATTTTGAGAAATGAATAGGGTTGTGACAACAATCTCTCAAGTCTTTTTTGGTGCCACTGATCTCTGCAATTCCCAAGGGATAGAATGTTTCTTTGCATGAACTATTCTCATAGGAGGCCAACTACAGCGATATCCAATGTGATTTTCCCCCTATCTTAATAGCTGATAGCCTATGGGACAGAGAACCAATGTGAATCATACACTTTTCTGAGAGTATTTTTTCAAACTGTAGTACTCCTGGGACCCGGGGATATAATTGCAAATAGTGTTTTGTATTTCAGTGAGCCAAGAGGGAAAAGTGAACTTCACCAGAGCTCTGTCTCATGCTTGTCTTTCACTCTAGTTACTGGATCTTAGTGGTATTCTGAGCCCTGGGGAAAAACGAATCTTCCCTCACAAGCAGTATTCAGTAGCCCCTGGAAGGTTTATGTATTTCTCTTTCTCCTATACACTGAGCACTGTTCACCCTTTGGGGACATCCACCGAGAAGGCTCACTTGGCATTAGAGCAGCGTCTGACTTCACATTTATCCAGCCTCATCTTCACTCAAGGTGCGCCGAGTCTGTAAAGTGACTCATGCCTGGAAATTGGACAAAGGCCATGACTTTACCATGGTGGCTCCAGTCTGGTTGTGTTCTTTGGATCTTCCAGGTAATGAACATCTTTAAGGAGCTGCCAGCTGAATTTACTTCTGTAGAGCTTAAGATTAATTTATCACTACCAGATGTCTCTCTGCCAACCGTTCCCTATGATCTGATCTGTAAACATGCCCTGTTGCCTGGTAGTGTAACCATTATCGTTTTGCTTCTTAGGGATTAATTGCCACCACCTGGGCTCAATCATGCGCGGCTATGCCAGTCTCCATTGAGACATTTAAGCCTACTTCAAAAGCATTGCTTTCTGCTAGCATTTCTAGACTGGACAAACAAGTCAGCATTACTCTGAAGAATATTTCCTATTCCTTGTGAAAGATTAAGATGAGCCTTGTGGGTTCACAAAGGCAGTGTTTCCAAATTTTCTTTTACTATGATCTTCAGAAAGAATACATTTTAAAATATGGTCTGTGCTGCTATAAATATTCGAGTGCAGATGTCTTTTTTATAGAATGTCTTTTGTTCTTTTGGGTAGATGCGCAGTAATGGGATTGCTGGATC